TGTTTTTTTCATAACTTATATACCGATGGCAGATCGGTATATATGTAAATACCTTTCTTTTATAGTAATAATATACTTTTAATTTTTTTTTCGGTTTAAAAGTTAAAAATCAATAAACAAATTATAGTTGATACAGCTTTTTTTTTGTAAAATATCAAAATAAAATATATGAAGCCAACGAAAAGGTTTTGGTCGAAAAACTTAAGATATTAACTCTTATTATCTTGCAATTGAAGGTAGTGAGGTATATATCTAGGTGAAACCGTATCGGATGCGAAATACTTTGTTCACAAAAATGAATAAAATTATTTTTAAATGTCTATAAACCGTAACAAAACAAGAAATAGAAATATAAAAACCTTCATATCGAGTTTCAATGATGAATTCAACAAGTTCGTCTCCCGACTGTTTCGCACAACAAAATAAATAACAAAGTCATATAATCATCAGTTCGACTGCAGTTGCTTCTGTTCCAGATATTCATCGGTTGGTTACAAACCGCACTTTTGCATAAAGAAATCCGAAGATAAAAGTAAATATAAATTGTATATCAAATGAATTTGATTTGTTTGGCAAACGTTCGAAGTGCTTTTATCGGTTCCGTTTTTTATGCGAATCAGATTCATTTCTCATCACCTTTTCTTTTTTGTTTGGAATCAGTTTTCCACACAAGCTGTTGAGCTAAACAGTGGCTGAAAGTGTTTATATCTATCTATGAAGTTACTTCCAGAATGCACATCGAAAAATTTATTTAAATAGTTTCAAAACCAAACAACCTAAACAAAAAATTTTAAATGAATTTGTTTAGATTAACAACGTGGCTTGCGTATAAACAAATTCTTTTTAGCATTAATTGACGTGAATTGCCTTAAGAATGTGTAACTCAAACAATCTCATCGGTTGAGCGTTTTCCTTTTCTAGTTTCGCTACAAGCAACCATCAGGCATTTCTACGTCACCACATATTTGACGGATCCAAAATAGCTTAAACTATTTTAATAAATAGATATTGTACAGTAAACTTTTATAACTTTTTATATTGAAAACCTTGCAGGTTAGGATCGATTTAAGTAGAGAGCAGTAATGCTTTATGCTTGAGATTTTATATGCACTACAGATACAGATAAACAAGTAGGTTAGATTAGATTAGGCTAACTGTGAAACCATGCGTTAGTTTAACCTTTTTTCAAGGAATTTCTGTGTGACTTCAGCTAATTAATTTTCTGACATTTTTCTGTAAGACCTTCAATCAAAAGCAGTTCAAGATAGTTTTTCGGAGTCTTTGAATTAAAATTTTCCAAAAATTGTAGTTATATTTCTTGCTAGAGCTGGAATTAAATGAATAACTCTATTCAAAAATAAACATTGGCATTCAAAGGATTTAACACATAATTTAATACATTGCACATTGCAGACTCAGACCCTCAGACCAAAAAGAATCCCTAATCAACTACGCGTAGTAGTGAAAAATTAATAAGGTGAACTCTTTTAATGAAAATTTTAAATATTTCATATGACAGAGAATTTGACTTACTATTTGTGCTTAAGTTCACTGAATTTAGCAGAAAACATGCGATGAATGAAATTAAATCAATATTAATAAGGAGAAATAAATATAAATATATTTACTGCTATGCATATAAGAGTAGGAGTTCTCTAGCTTAGAGATTAGATTAACTTCTTATCAACAACAATAGGAAATAAGAAGCCGATTTTGAGTATGAGATATGCTGATCGAAAGAGATTAAATCAAAAACTGAGTAGAGTAGTTAGTAGTATCGGTGTTCATATAAAAATGGAAGTCCTTACAAGTTAACAGAATAAGCTTCAGATAGATATCAGTTATATATAGATTAACTATGCTCTTACGGAAGATGTACATCATGAACACTTTTGACTAAATTCCAATAGTATCATTGCGTAAACTACGACGCAATACAATATGTTTCTTATATACTTCTATTGTATAGAAGTATATAGACTATACTTCTATAGTCTATCTATCGACTATGTATTTAATTGTGTAAACACTGTTTAATCACATTTTCAATAAAAATATTTCACAGTAAAAATCATAAAAACTAAAAATACTTTTTTTCAATAGAAAACCTAAAGAAATTTACAAGTAAATGTTTTTCACAGTATCGATTTTATCGTTAATTAAATGCAATGATATGTAATTATCATTAGATCGGATATACTGTACTTTATATTTCATATTAATCAACGTATGTACTTTGAACACTTTCATCTATCTTGTGAATAATTTATTCCCAAGATGAATCAAACCTTTGCTGTCTAGTTTTAGGTATTCATAGAGAATTTTTTCAGATGCTACAATATCCGTGGCATAGAAGCGGCAGATATTGATCTCTGAGTGGATCAAATCTTTTGTTGATTTTTAAAAAAAAATATTCGCTGAATGAACGATATTAAGGTCTATTTATCTATATTATATGTTACGGTTTTATAAATTCAAAAGTTTTCAAAATGTTACGCAATAAAGCGTTTTAGGAACGGAAGACTCAATCGATTGGGGTACATAATAAGAATGAAGACACATGAAATGAAGCTGTCGGAGTCACACAAATCTAAAATCGTACGAACACAGAGATAAAACTATTAAGAAAGAAATGGATTGATAGACTTAAAAACGATTACAGAACATGGCGTACATACAATAAGAGAATAATAACAAGAAGTAGAGATGACTGGAAGAAGGCTGCTAAGCCTTGGTTAATGATGATGATGAGATACTACATTTTAAAAAGAAGTAAGCTCTATTGAAAAATTAGGCTTTACGACGTTTTTTTTTGTTTGGTTATCTAAATTAGTTTTAGTTCGTTTTGTATATTATTTTTGATTTTAATAGTAATTATTTTATTTTTAGCTATTTTTTGTTTTTTATGTGGTCTTTTCACTCTTCCCCTAGTGTCTTCTTGCCCCATATTTTAGTATATATATGTTGTAAATGTGGTTTATATTTAATTCGATTTTACTGAAAAATATATATGTGGTAACTTCACTAACTCCACTGTTACACATAGAGGAACAAAACACAATTTTGTTCGACAAGGGCAATGATAAGATTTTATTCTGATTATTTTGATTAAAAGTTGTTTTTAACAGCAATCAAAAGAGCATTTTGTATGTGATTAACCTAAACATTTGTACATAATTTATACATGGCCAAGCAGAAACACTTTGAAGTGTGGAATGCACTAAATTTCCCAAAAGACACCCCCCTCACAAAGTGGGTTGTTCAAAAGTGCTTAATTCTCTTTCCTACAATTTATTCGGCCCACTGATTAATCCTTGAATTTAGGCTTGTTCCGTTGTAGCAAGGAGTTGAGTTGCATGTGGTGTGACAGTTCATAATAATAAAAATAAGTGCCTCAAGTGGAGGTAAGTGACAGAAAGAAAAAGCAACATGACAAAAGGACGACTCAAAAGACCACTTGCGGACAAGAGAAGGTACTTCCATATTCTGTACTAACATACTAACCCAAAATGTTTGCGAATTCAAAGTATTTAAGCAAATGGAATGCAGAGTTTGCATGCAGCCTTAAAGTAAATTAAAATTTAAAACCTTTTTAATCTTTTTTAATGCTTTAAGTGCTTCAGTGAATTCACAATTCCACGGTTTCTAAGTTATTGTGGCAAAACTCAGATATTTCGCAAGTTTTCTATATATTTTTTGGGAAGACTTACAAACTACAAATTCTATAGAAAATAAGAATCAAAGCTACTGCAAAAGGTTTGCTTGAAATATCAAGAAAATATTTCTTATTAGTTTTTAAATAAGTATAGTTTTTTTTTTTATTTTTCATTCATATAAGTTGAGTTGTTATCGGAAGCACTTGATAACCTCAGAGCAAGCAGCGGCCAAATCGCTCTTCTTTCCATTGGTATAGTAAATAGTTAACTATTGTGAGATACACAAATAACTGCACAAGTGCCTACTTCTAGTACTGATAACAAATTAGCTTGAGTACATTTTTATAGCGATGACAAGGCTCTTAGACTAGCATTAAATTCTCAATGTAGAATGATTGTTTATAACGTTAAATTGTCGCTATTATCAGCTTATATGGATTTATTGTAGTCTCCTAAATGAAAGCATAATAGCCTCGAGTAAAGTACACAGAATATATTAACATAGAGATTATGTATGACTTAGGGAAATTATTAATCCTTATCAGATAGCACGCTGCTACTACTTGCCTACACGTTCGAATTTCAGGAAGTATATAAGATAATTTAAGCCGGCAAGTGGAAATCCTATTACTAGAATTTTTATAAAAAGCAAATATGTATTTGAAATGTTGACTGATTATTTTTTAAGTCTTGCTGGATTTGAAGAATTCACACACCTCGTATATTATTCGAATGGATAATACCATCTCACAGCCTGTAATATAAGATCGATCTACTGTGCTATTGATTAATATACTATATAGACAATCTAAGTCGTATAAGAGCGCTGTCCCTTTCTATCATTTATTTATATTGAAACATTTTTTTCAAGAACGACCGGGTCCAAGTGCCGTTCATCACACCCAAAAGGACTACACAAGCAGATCCATGCGGATCTACCATTTATTTGGTAAATGGTATTTATTTATATTATTATTATATATAAATTGAAGGCCTTTTCACAGACGATTTTTTTCCCATGGAGTTTTCTCTGACTCTGTATATTAATTAAGATTGAAAAATTAAACCCATTTTTAAATCACTTTTTTTTTTAATTTTATTCATCAATGAATTATCTACTGAAATTAGTACAGTTTTAAAAGAAACATCCTGTATTTTTTGTTATACTCTAAGATTGATAGGGTTCTAAGATTGATTCTTAATAAAATATTCATTTACGCTAAACGGTCTACTGTGAAACTAAAAGTATTTTTAAAGTATACAGTAAGTATACATAATACAGCATAAATTTAAATTGTATTATAAATAAATATAGATAAAATAGATTAAAACAAATAAACTCACCAAAATAATATTCTTAAAGAATTCGCGATTAGAAGAGCGAAGCATACGTGCAGGGAGAAGCCATCTGCATCCTGTGTCTTTTTGATTTCACGGTACTGCGGCACATATGGTATCACACCACCAATGACCATAGCCGAAGCTGCAGCCCAGCCCACAACATGGCCTACCGTAAGGCCCATCTCATCGCTGATAATCCAATCCATAATTTCAGTTTCGTGTTCTCAATGTAATTTTCTATTTATCTATTCTATTTATTGTAGATTTGCAATACGCGTTGTGGGCGGATATGTTTTGTTGATTGATATAAGTATAATTTTTATTGCGGATTCGCTTGTTGTGCTGGGATGCTTAGAATGCTTAGAGTGCTTTCACAAGTAACTTCTGGAAGTGATCGCTGCGATTAGGGTTGCTGTATAATGTTGAATTTTCTCGGATGCGGGACTGTTCAGTGTGCATCATTGATTACTTGGAGTTTGGGAATGAAAACGAAATAAGATATATATTTATAATTAAAGAATAAGCACTACGCTCTATATTTGCTGGTAAATGATAAATAATTTCGTTGAGATTATGTTTTCCCTAATTGACCAATTTTGAGTGAAAAAGTGAATTGATTTTTCAATTTAAAAAAAAAAACTATAACTGCCAAGCGACCAAGAAGCGCGCCAATTCGCATAAAAAATAATGTTTTTTTGCTAAATCAATTTTATTTATTTGAACTTTTTTATAATTAATAACATTAAAACATATTTAAAACGTATAATACACAAATCGTCATATTAAACCCTCGCAAGGATCGCAGCCCACACACGAGCGATGCACTTGACTTGCAATGAAAATTTCAAAAGTTTTTTTTATTGAACTGCACTCCTTGTCTTGAGGCAATTACTTGGATTAGCTATCGGTTTGAGGTTTTCACTTTTGTTTGCAATTATTGGGAATTACTGCACATAACTGATTGTCATAACTGATCCGAAAATCCGAAAATTATTGCTTCAATAGAAATTTTCATTGAATTTTCCACTAAATGCACTCACGCAACGCACGTCTTCCCAAAGTAGCGTCTCTCGCAGCAGCAGCAGCAGCAGTAGCAGTAGCAGCACGAACCAAAAATTCAATTCATTTCACTATTTTCTTTGATTTTCTCTCGTTTTTTCACATCTTCAATTTGAATAATAATTTTTAATATCATATATCTTTCTTCCCTCCTTGCCTCTGTTAACGGCGCAGTTCTTCGCATATGAAGTTTTGGTAACGTTTTGGGAAAGTATTTGGACACTTACATTTTTTGCTAATTTTCCTTTGATATTGATTAAAAACAATTGAACTGAACTTTTATTTTTTACACAATATTTATTTCTATAGCCTGCGTTGGAAGAGCTACAGAATTAAATTTCTTAACACTGGCGTTTCTTCTTAGTTTTCATATTTGTATACATTGTTTGTTTGCATCTTTAATGGAATCAGTTACGTACGTTACTAGTGACTTGTACCGTTCGACTTTTAGCTATCAATAGAAAATTGACATTTAAAGAAGATATCTCGAATCGAGTTTTACCGATTTTCTACAATCGCAGCGACCACGACTCATTCACGAACAAGAATAAAGAAAAAATGAGAATTTGTTTGTACAAATGCACAAAGAGCAAAAGCAGCAGAAGGCTATTTTGTGTGAGCATTACAATCGCATAACAGCTGATTAACTTGCACCGCTGTACGTAAAAAGTAGCCGCTGTTCTTAATTTATACAGAAAAAAATGCTGCCATGTTATTCTGTATACACACCATAGTACACAAATAATAGGTTTGTTCCACGAGCTACTCGTAGTAATTTTGAGAAACACTGTATATACACAAGTGCGTTCCACCACTAAATTTTCAAGTAAATGAGAGCATCTGAGAGAGCGTCTGTGTTAATCTCTCAGATGCTGTGTTAAGAACGTACCATAATTTGACACTTTTTTTGTGTTACACTTTTAGTTTGTACTTTACTTGTGTTTTACTTGAATTTTACTACGAGTAGCTCGTGGTACAGACCTAGTATGTTCAGCTCCTAACTTGTTTCATAAATTATTGTATATCATGGCAAGACATGTGACAAACGTAATGGAATTGATCATGCAGTGAAAACAGAGTACAAGAGTTATTTTAATTATAAAATAGGACTGTCTTTAATATCTGCATTTATCGTATTTAGTGGATCAAATTGGTTTGACATAATTCAAATTATGTTCAATTATATGTTAGACTAATTGCATTTTTATTAAAATATCATATAATTAATTTTTTGTGTCTTATTTTTGCATTTCAAATCTAGTTAGTGAAATAGACAAGTTATTGTTTTTGTACCATCAACAATTTCAATCAATTAAAAATTAAAATTTTGTTGTGACTTATTGACAGAGGATTTATTTAAAGCATATATGTGTTTGTAACAGGTTTTTGTTTGAACGTAGCGCATACTATAAAATCTAACTATATAGTTAGATTTTAACTATCAATTACTAATCGCGGATTACAAAACATTTCGAAGATAAAAATAGGGAACCTTCATTTGTGAGTGCAATAATGAATTGTGAAATTAAAACGTTCGCAAAAGTTAAGTAGGGTATATTGACTTGACTCTGATAAAATTGTTATGTTTAAAAGTGAATACGTATTATGTTCGATAAAAAATGTCAGTTCGTCTAATATTATATTTATATTATATACTATATTTTAACGTTCTACTTTCTTCTGGTCCAAATCAAAGCCAGACAACCATAAATAATATGATTAGACATCTCATTTCCTCCAAGCAAACTTAACATTCATTCTCAGATATTCTACTAACACAATTTGAGGTCTGTTCTGCTTAGCAGGGAAATCCATAGTTTCAAGCTAAAAGTGATTTCTTGAATTTGAAACCAATTTTATAACTAATTTATTTGTTGATCAAATTTAGTCAATAATAACGGAGCATTTGTTTTTATGTTATATAAAAGATTACTACGGTAACAAAACATGTTGGGCATAAAAATAATAATGAAATAATTAATATATTAAAAAAATAGAAAAAGAATAAACATGTTCAGTTTCTTCTGTGATATATCCATACATAGAGCAAAAAATTTATCGATATAGATTTTTAATAATTCTTAGGCATAACATAAATGCATTGGTATTTAGTTCATTTCATTTTCAAGTTGTTTATTGTTAGTATATGCGAATCACAATTGTAACATGTTCACTTAGTGCCAATAACATTTATGTTCATCAATAATAGGATGGACAGACAACTGGCATCTGGTTGAAGAAGAATAGAACTATAGTGTTTTATGTGAATGTTGTTCATTATCACCATTTTATTTTATATATAGATCCCATTATTATAGAAATATTTTTTTGGAAAAAACTTTATAATTTTTTATTGGATTTTATTTAAAGATGAAGATTGTTTCATTTTATATTTTTCTGAAACTAAATCACAAAACAATGCCCTAAAAAAAATAATTGAAGGTTTGTGTATTCGATGGTGGTCTGTATTGGATTTGTGCGAAGCTAAGCGTAGACATTATGCGATGATAATGAAAGCTATATAAAAGGTTTTTGTTCCGGAATGTTATTATTATAAAATTAAATTATTCAATTTTTAGTAGTTGGAACCTAACCACATTAACGAATTGTATAACTGTACGAAATTCATGAAAACATTGTATATAAAACGAATAAAGTATACGAAAGAGCTTATTTTGTTGTGGTTACGATCTAGCATAAATATGTGTTATTTTTAAAAAATTTGGAAATGAAAATTAAAAATTGTATGTGAATTGTTGTAAATAAATTCATTTTATATGTAGTCGAAACTTCAAGAACATTATATAAAAAATTTGAAAAGTTTTATTTATAGAAACGAAATAGTTATGAATTTAAAAAAAAAATATACAACATATAACAAAAAATTATTGACATGTTATTGTTAAAATATAATAATTTTTTTCTTCAACAATCGAAGTGAAAAATTTTGTCTACACTATATTTGGCCTTATTCAAAAATTAGAGAAATTATCGTTTGAAAAGTTTGTGAGGCGAGAGCATATAAATAAAATTTCATAAAACGGTACGGAACAAACACAAGTGCTTTTTTTGGGATCTGGCAGCGTGGTTAATTGCTTCAAGCGTTTTTCAACACATTGACTGAAATCAGCTGTTTGGTGAGTAGTAATTAACTTTTAGTGCTAAATCCAAAAAGTAAAGAGTGTGTACGCGCTTATGAATTTAAATATTTTAAAATAATAGCGAAATGTCGCAGTTGAAGGTTTTGAGTCGTTTCTTTCTTTCGAAGAGCCGCTTTGCAACACAATTCTGGCTGCAGCAGCAACAAAAAATTCAGTTTAGCTATGGGCGCCAAATGTTGCAACAGCGGCGTAAACAGGAGTCGTCAGAAATAACAAATGTGCAAAAATCAAACGCCGGTGCTGGTTCTTCGGTTTCCAATGATGTGCGACCACTTGGTGAAAAGATTAAGGAAAATACCAAAACGATGAGTTACACTGCAATAATAGTCGCAGGCATCGGTGTTACCGCTATTATGTTTTACGCTATATGTCGAGAGCTGTTTTCCAGCGATAGTGCTAATAACATATATTCGGATGCACTAAATAAGGCGATAGAGGTAAGTGGTGATCACATTTTGTTAAAGTTGTAAAAGGTAAAAGTATATTGTAGGATCCACGAGTGCAAGATGCGCTTGGTGCTCCAATTAAAGGTTTCGGTGAAAAGTCGCGGAGGGGCCGGCGTCAACATGTTGCTCACACCACGTACGAACGCAACGGTAAGCCACATATGCGAATGAAATTCTACATACAAGGCATTAGAAATAAAGCAACGGTACATTTGGAGTCGCGGCTGGTAAGTGTTTCCGTAATATTACTCAATGTTGAATGTATGGTTAATGTTTCATTTTAGGGTACTTTTGGGAAAATAGAATATCGTTACATTTTCGTGCAATTGGATTACTATCCACATACTACAATTATTTTAGAAGATAATCGTGCCTTCGATTCACAAGCAGCTCAAACCCAACCCGCTTTAAATTATTCTGAAATGGAACTCGCTTCCTATGATAAAAAATAAAAAGCGAAGCTTTTTGTGATTGAACTATTTAGAAGTGAAAAATATAAAGTTGAGGAGAGCTTAATATATTTTAGTTGTTGATACTTTGAATTAATTCGTTTTACTAAATTTTGTTTTGTTATAACTCTCAACAAAGTTGAGTGCTTAAATTTTATGTATGAAATTTTAATACATCACCGTTTTTCTGTTAAAATTTATGATATTAAAATTCTTTTATACATAAAAAGTGACTGAATTGCAATCTAATCTGCCAAAAGGCATCATTTAAGTTAATGTCTAATAAAAAAAAATAATTTAAATCAACATACCAACATATAATTTTTTTTTATATTGCGAATTGAAAGCTTAAATACTATTAAACTAAGATCCAAATGCTTAAATAATGCGGTAGTAAATTGTAGATTCATATTATAATTTATAATGATTCATTAAGAAATGGGCAGTTATTGAAGGTAATATAAATTTATCATATTATTTGAAATACTTAGATAATTTTGTTTTTATTTTTAGATTCTACATCAAAAATATGTGTAATTGGCATCAGTTGCTAAGTTTCAGGAAGCAATATGCTTGTTACAGTAGTTACCATACATTCGCAGAAGTGTAGATGTACCACAAAAAGCGAAAAAGTGAATATATCTGAAAATTATTAATAACTGCCGAAGTTAGAGCAACGTTATTCTTCAAAATTGAAAAACTTTATCTATATTTTTGAGCTAAATTTTTTTTATTGAAACTGCTTGTAAATAAACTGCTAGAATTATTTCCAAGACCACTGATGATGGGTATTTGGCAATACTTGAATCAGCTGTATGGTTAGCCAAATATTCAATTAATTAAAATAATATAAAATGAATTTTGTTGTTGTAGTTCACTACTGTTCCAAAAATCTCTTTATTAAAACTGTTAGTATATAAAAACGGCATCAATCATTAACATAAACTGAATCTCTTTCATGTTCTGATTCAAGTTTTCCGATAAACTACTTTTACGAAGTAGTCACTATAATTTAAACAATTATTTTTTTAGTTCTGCAGTGTTATCTTGGGAACTGGTGCTGTTTAAAATTTTGACAACGTGGCGATATCAAATGGTTATAGGACTTAGATGCTGTCATACTTTGAATCGTATAAACAGAAATTGTTAAAATTTTATGGTAAAGATTCTCATGAATAATATTTTCTTATTGGACTACAAAATCTTGCCTGTATGGAAAAACACTTGATAGTTTTTGGTTTGCATATAAACTCAGTAGCCGAACATTACTGGTTATAATTAAATAAAATATAAAATACATATTTTTGGAAATTTACATTCAATATTAAAAAGAGTTTTATTTTATAACAACTTATTTGAGGTACGTGATACTTCTTTACATCAATATCTTGATTATTTATTTTTATTTATTTTTTTATAGGTATATATTCATATATGTAATAAGAAGAACACATTTCGAAATATAAATGATATACCGGGATTGGTGATTGAATATATCATAATTAATAATTGAATATGATAAGTTGAAATGAACTGATACTTAAGTTATGGAACTTACTATGATTTTCAAAGGAATGCAAATGTTTAGTTTACCTTAGCTACTAAACGCTAATATTGTGTGTTAATCCAGTAAAAATGGAATAAATTTCTCGAAAGTGTCTTACATTCAATGATGTTAGAGTTGACAACACAATTTTGTTTTCATAAAAAAATCATAAAAGCTATAGTGACTTGTTACTGCAAACTTAACAATCCGGCTGCCTTAGATGAATCCTATAGGACAATATCCTTGTTGTCTTCAGTAGCCGAAGTTCTGGAGAATTAATTGTTAAAAAAGATATCACCATAAATTCACCTAACTCCGCATTAAAACGGATTTCGTAAACGTCGTAGTACTACCTCCGCTCTTTGCGAGATCACGTCTTATATCTGAGGGATCTTGGAGATGGAGAATATGAGCACAAATGATATTGCCGCTTTAAAATACACAAATCGAAAGTGTCGGCAATTTGGACAAGTCATTACATTATTTATAATAATAATTTAATCCACAAAATAGTTGTGTAAATTATATAAACTGTGAAAATTTTGCTAAGACGACAGTATCGTAAATATTATAATAAATTATTTTAATAACACAAGGAAATTTGTATATTGTTATATTATTATAAACATTATTGGTGTTGTTATTAATTTGTTTACAGTTTTAATTGAACATATTATAAAAATATATTTGTGAAATTGTTCTTATTGTAAAAATATTACAATAATTAATAATTGTAAACAAAAAAAAAATTTTTGGATACCCCTGAAGATGTTGGAATAAAACCATTGAAACTTCGGATTAAAAAATAAAATAAAACATTTTATTTGCATCCCATTTATAAGACCGGAGTAGTCTAATCAAAAATTAAAATTAAAACAGCTCTGATTTTTCTACTTATAGTGATTATTATGAAATGTCTTCTGATAGACAATAGACATTTGTCTACTGAGTCGATTGGTAAGCAAATTTGGTATTATGAATCTTGAGAGCCCCATAGAGAAATATAGTAATTGTGTTCACTAAGAAACATTGAAATTGATTTAAAATTCTTTATAAAAAAATATATAAAATATAAAAAAAATGTCAACAGTAGATATTTGGTATTCGTCTTCATCGGAAGACGATAAAAATACAAATCTTCGTTTACACAGACGCAAAATTTTGGTCCTACAACAAACTTTATTAATTGTACTTTTTATTAATTTTATATAAATGCTCACATTATTCGTTGAAAAATATATCTAAAGTATCATAGTGAAGTTATCTACAAGAAGGCTTTATTGTTAAAAATATTTGAATAAACACACAAGCAAATAAAAGAACAAAACCAAAGTGCAACAACCGTTCTTCTCAATATATAAGACATTGCACTTGAAAGCAGATATATTAAATGATATATTATATTATGTAGAATGTACATAACTACTATTAAGTAAACAAAAAATACGTTAAATTTATATGTTAAATTGACTGTATAAAGCGTTTCAACAGCATTTATTGCATACGATCGACAAACTTCCACTGCGCAAATGCAGTAGAGAAATTTATTTACTGCTGATAGAAGAACTTCTATCGGTTTGCAGTTTATAACACCAAAATTCGATTTTGTCTATCAGCAATAGAAATTTGCATACTGTCTATCAGCGATAGACAATCTATAATAGGCACATATATGTTAGTTGTGGAATATAGTGATCCTATTTTGCTTATTTCTACAAATGTTTGAAATCTCTAACTATATACACAACTTCATTGACCTGAAGGCGTAAGATTAATGGATTTTTGATATTTGTTTTATTACGTCACAAGCATTGTGTTCAGCTTCTCAAAATAATTTGAAGAACTGAAAAATAATATGAATTTGATAATAACTGATACAATTATATTACGAGTACATTCAAGAAAGAATGTTAATATATATTCTTTCAAAAGCATTGGGACTCCACAGTTATTTTTTAAATTTCATTCAGTGGCAAACTGTATTTTATATAGCATTCAGTTTAGGATCAAAAGAAATCGCTTCTCCTCATTAACGTCTTCATTCGCATTTTTTCTATATTTTTTATTATATTTTCTATATTATATTTCAAACCATGAAATTCAAAATTTATATAAGTCATTAATTATGTTATATTATGGGAGTTGATTAAGTTATAAATGTTCCAAGACTACAAATTTGAGTTAGATATCCTCAATTAGATATGCGAAAATTATAGCAAAATTGTCAAAATTTGGTATTACTAAAATTAGTATATATTTAAATGACAGCGTTGCTAAAAAATAGTGTTTGGTTCTGTAGTTGGTTAGTTGATTGGTTGCAGTGGCAGGCCTCTAGGTAACTTCCATGTACCTCAATTACCGACTTTTCGCCGTTTTGCTACCACATTCCTCGCAAGAACCCCTAAGATAGATTGTTTTTACCAACGAATAGTTTGATAAACTGAAGTATCTTCCTATAAATATTTTTCTTCTGGGCGCCAAAGCCGGGCATTGACAGAGAAAGTGTCTTATGGTTTCTTTTTCTAGCGGGTTTCCACAACTTCTGCAGTGAGGGTTCTCTGTGTTGGCTCCTACACATCAATTACCAGAAAGAACTGCATTACTCCTTGCAATGCTCACACGGTCTCTTTTGATGAATTTTCGGGATCTAGTTTTATTATAGGTTGGCCATGTTAATCTGAAAATTGCACTTGATTTAAGTGCCTTCCATCTGTTATTGGCAAGCTGAAGAAAGTAGAGGTAAGTACTTCTCTCAATGGCCTTTAGGTTAATATAAACTGGTACCAACAGGAACGCATCCACGGGACCAGAACTGTCAGCTAATCTGTCAGCTTTCTCATTTTCTTCGATGTTCCTATGTCCAGGAACCAAAATGAGGGTGATATCAGCCAACCGTTTAGCTCGTCGATTGTCTCTCTACATTATTTGACTATCTTTGATCCACGGGCTTTGATTGTTGCCTGATTGTCAATGAAAATAGAAACACTACATCTGTCCTTGAATGTGACTTGCGATTTGCCGACATGCTTCTCTAATCGCTAAGATTTCAGCTTGAAAAACCGTGGTCTAATTAGGTAGCCTTAGATAATTGTTTATACTTTCAGATGGCACAAAGATCCCTGCTCCTAACCCGCAGTTCATTTTCGAGCCAGCCATATAGATTGAGATATCGTGTTTTACTTCAAAGTTTTTCCTTTTCCATTCGTTTCTTAAAAGAAATATTGTCTGGAAATTTCTTTCACAGCCCAGGCACGGATTCAGATAGTCCGATGTCAGATAGTCCGGAAATTGTATGTCCATCAATTTCCTTATAAAGGAACTTTTTGACATCCATATCTGAATGTCCATTTGCAAAACTAACGGCGTCCATTATTCCTCTGTCAAAATATGAGGAATAAACTAAGAATTTATAATTATTACTAATAATATTCAAATCTATATGAATCTAAGAAAATTGATAGTGCAGTACTTTCTATTTGAACTGTTTATTTCTTTAAAAATACTGTTAGAGATATATGTAAATGAATGAGAAACAAATATTTTTTCTGTCAATGCAACTCAGAATTGTTCATTATGCACATATATTTAAAGAGACATTTTGCTAGTCATCGTATTATTCTTCTTCCATATTATATAATTCTC